CACATAAGTGAGGTATTTCGTGAATTCTTCTAAGCCATCTGATTAGTGACAATGATTCCTTTGAAAAGGAAAAGAGACGCAATCACCTGGGAATCCATCGCAAAGATCCTTGATTGCGGTGGTCTGCTTCTTCTCGCCAATCTTCTCATACTTCTGCTTGTTGGTGGCAGCCTTGAGACCCTGCCAGGGGAGGCCACCTCTGAGGAAGTACAGGAAGACGTGGCCCAAAGCTTCGAGGTCATCACGTCGCGATTGTTCACGTCCCAAGTGGGTGTTGATGCTCATGTAACGGGCTGTGCCGGACAGCGACTTCCGTTCGCGGTAGGGAATATGCTGCTTCGTCTTGGGATCTCTATACTGCTTGGCCATACCGAAATCAACAACGTGGATTACATTAGCAGCCTTGGTGTTCGGGCGACCAATGAGGAAGTTATCGGGCTTGATATCACGGTAGATAAGGTTCTTCTCGTGGATCGTTTGGACTCGTGAAAGCTTTGAAGCATGTTAGTATGGATATCCACACATCGATTGGTCGGAGTACGCACCATCTGCTTAGCGACCATGACAACAGTCTTGATTGAGAAACGTCGGTTGCAATGATCGAAGAGATCTTCCAAACTGGGACCGAGCAGGTCGATAACCAGGATGTTGTGAAGACCCTCTTGCCCGAAGTAGTAGACATTGGGGATGCCAGCTGCAACCAGTCAGGACCGGGAAACCTTACGAACACAATTGCCACCAGGGTATACTCACGGCATCCGACCAGAATCTTATATGTCCGATATTCATCGCGAAGCTGTGGTGCATCACTCTTGCGAGGTTCCTAGTACCATTAGTATGGGCGAACCGTAGACCCGTGCCATCAAGAGTATCACGTACGAATTTGATCGCCACCTGCTGATTGTTCAACAAATTCGTACCCTCGAAGATCACACCGAACGATCCTTCACCGATCTTCTTCCCTACTCGGTAGTGGACACCGACGACGTTGGACGAGGAGGATGACATGACTGCGGTAGTTGGGAGGGGAGGAGGGATGTTGAGAGACCGCGGACAGGGGCGGCGAGAAGGGGAAGGTAGGCTTAGAAGACTCGATCAACGGCGGTTACACGTGAGACTAGCCTGACGGATGGGTCAGAATAATCGACAAGAGGGCATGAATGACGAAAGAAATGAGGTCTAGTAGCGGGCCCTGGGGCGTGAAGGTGGGAGAGGGGGGGAAAAGGCGACCGGAGTCTTACAGGAAGCCCGATGGTACCAATGCGAACCATTCATGAAAGAGAACCCCAGTGTACAACAATCACGGAACCCGGATGGACGACAAATCGGAGACCGCAGACGGCGAGATAGATAGTCGCTCGAACAATCGCACCGGTGAATTTGGACGGGGAGGGAATAGGGTGCACCCTTGGACGGCGTTGGCAAGAAGGGTGACGGGAGAGGGAAGAACAAGGTATTCCGGGGAACCGACAGCTTTGAGGGCTGCAGGCTGACAGTTAAGGGTGCGCTCGTCGGAAAGGGGACGAGGAATAAAATGTTCGATTTTGGGAAAAAAGGGAATTAATCGAGAAGGGGTAAGGAGGGAGGGAGGGAAAAAAAAATAAGGAAAGAAAATTCCCCTACTACCGACCAACCGCGTGGCAGTACGGCAAAAACGCACTGGGCAGGCAGTGGTAGATGTAGAATTGGAGGGCGCCGTCGAAGGGGAGGAAGACGGAGGGAGGAGAGAGAAGAAGGGAAAGAAGAGTGATAGGAGGAACGGAGACGGGAGGAAGAGTAGGTTGGTAGAGAGGACCTAGGTGAGCAGCGAACACGCCGATGGCATGAACTACAACTGCTACGACCTGCCTATGGGGGAGAAGGAGGGAAAGGGAAAGGGAAAAAGAAGGGAAAGAAATGAGGCGGAGAATAACAGGAGCAGGAGAAAAGAGGAAGAGGAAGAGGAAGAGGAGAGAGACGGAGGAGTGAGAGAGAGCGAGCGCGGCAAGAGAGGCGATGGTTGGATGAGAGGGAGAGGGAGAGAGAGAGAGAGGTTTGGTCTGGTCCGGTCTGGTTCCTTTGCTAGGTTTTGGTCAGGTCATGACGGAACAGCCGTATCGGCTACTAGTTCAGGTAAGTAAAGCCAGTAAAGTCAAGTAACTTATTTACCTGTCGAAAGACTCGAGAAAGTCGAAACCCGATGACGCCCTTCGAAATGGGGCGCTTCCGCCCGGTTTTTCTCACGGTAACGATGGTAACAACTGGGTAACTGGTATCAACTAGTGCAGGCGATTGGAGCCGGAAAGGCCCCATCGATAGGGGATGAAGGGCGGTAATCGGGAGTACGGGTATGGTACCTGATTACACTGAGACATCCCGAGGGCCCCATGCATTTCTTCATTCATTCATTCATCTGTCCTTCCACTTCCCACATACCTCTCCCTCCTAAAGAAGTACTACTATTACCACCACTTGCTGATCGGGTAAGATTATGTGAGTGAGACAAGATCTCCATTTTTTTCAGGTTACCCCAGAGTTGTTTCTCATGCCTACCAGACACTGGAACTGTTGATCCCAAGGAAGTGAAGAAAACTCTGGATACAATATGAGAGCCAATGAAAGGATCGAGTTGCAGACTTCAATGGCGCTTATTCGCCTCCCAAATTTTATCCTGAACTCGGAATCGCCCTGACCCAGGGACCTTTACTAGCGGCGCCGCTAGCGCTCAGCCTGTTTGGGCGATGAACGGTTGAAAGCGGGCACTACTCCGGTTAGTAGACGCCAGCAGTGGATTCTGGACCAGATGGGAAAAGCTATTATTATTATTATTTATTATTGCGGTGGTCTCGATGGTACGATTGTTACCTTTTTCTCCTCTTTTTCACCCCAGTGCCACATGGGGCTGGCGCTGTTTAAGTGTGTCGTCAAAAGCTCCATCCAGCACTAAACAAGGAGGGAAAAGAAAATTAAAAAGAAAAATAAAAAGAAACATGGAACCCCCGGGGGTTCGCTCACGGTGGGCAAAAGGAATCCATCCATCCATTTTATTCTCTTTTTCTACCTATATAGATACTATTAAGAATAACTATACAGTCACCGCAATTGGTATTGAGGTTAGTTTCAACCAACTATTTATTTACCATAATCACTACAATTGAATACTATACTTTCACAAGTTGCACTTGTCCTCCCCCCTGTGCCTACTAGGTTGTTGTTGTTGTTGTTGTTGCTCCCTTGACCGAGGAATGAACGACAGGATGGATATGGCCATCAAGGTCTAGCTGGTTTTGGCATGGTAACGTAATTTCAGGTACATACGTGGTGTATCAATCTATTTCCCTGCGGAACATAAAACCTGCCTATACTTGACTTGGAGCAGAGGAGCTCATGAAAAGCCAACACATGCCTAACAGAACTAACACTACGTATCTAATGACTAACTTCATCTTTATGGATCGTTTATCCGATCGGTAGTTCAATAAATCGAATCACATTGCTTCTCTTTCCCCTATCATTGCGGGACACATCCTCCTCTCAATCGGATTTCTACTCCGGAACAAGCAAGCAACAATTAACCCCAGGACCCCTAAACCCAGAGTTGAAGTACCTGCGCAGAGGGGATGCGAGTTGTCCGCAAGCTGCGGGTAATGGCGCAGATAATAACTTCCTAGGTTAGTAAGATCGTATACTATCCAACCTAACTAGTAACTGACTTTGTACTTTGCTAGTTAGGTTAGTAAGTAGTAAGTACGGAGTAAGTAGTAACCTAACCGACACAGCGGTCCAATTCCCTTCTCCCCTTCTCTACCAATAATCGCCAGCGATCGTAGCTGTCAATTCAGCTAAAACAACGCCCCATATAAATTATTCGACAATGACAGACTGTCAGCTCGCTCCTAGCGGCTAATCACTCTTAATCTGCCTAGTGACTAGTGAGGTGCTGCGGTCTGCATCTAAGAAGCCTTGAGGGGTTTGAAGGTACCTGCGCTGAGCTGGCACTGCCCCTGACCAGTCTGTAACCCAACCTGACGCTCAGGGCAACCAATCGAGCTACTTCAAATAGTAGTCCGACTACTACTAGTAAAAGTGTTCGGTAGCTGCTAGTGGTAGATAGGTGTCGTATCGGGGGAAAAATTATGTATCATACCGTACTTACCTGGCCCCTACCTGTTAGTAGATACATAATAGATACGGAGGCTGTGAGTAAGTGAGCCAGTGACTTGAGAATTGGGAAGACTAGACTTAATACTCATCCACCCCCCTCCCCACTCTTTCCAAACGAGGAGTAGGACGAGGATTACTTTGCTCCGCAGTGTCCTCATTATCAAGGTATGGACCTGCTGATTTCATTGGTACAAGGTATCGGAGTGGGATTTGGGGGCCCTGATAGCACAGGGGTGCTTCCGAAGAGCCCAATTGGGTTGGCGGCTTCCACCACTTTTCAATAATATGGAGGATTAGAAGTGTTCTCGAAGAAGTAACCGGCCGTCATGATCGGATTTCCCATGGAGGACTGACTTCCCATGAATTGTCGCTACTGAGTACTGCGCCGCACAGCCGGGCATCCTGCAACTCCGTAGCACATCCACCTGTGGCTCCTCCATTTTAGACGCATCTGACACGTCCATGACCCACATCCCACTGGATGCCTGTGCTTGGTTTGTTCTGATCGACTGGCCTCCATGTAGTGATGACTGCCCGTTTGAAACGCATTCAAAGCAGCCTTGAAACGGTTTCTCCTTCCCCAACTACATCAGACGTGGAATGCCTCGTTGGCAAAACTCTACGGCATACAGGCGCGTATGCCAGATAATGCAGGGGCATAGTCCGGCCTAAATCGGCCCCAAAAATTCATACGTTCGAGAGGCCTGGTGTAGTGTAACGGGCCGCCCATCCAGTAGAGTGATTTAGCCACGCGATTGTCGAATACACTTCATCACATCGCACACAGGGTGTGTTGGTGTGACCATAGCAACAGTCACTTATTCATACAGCAGCAGGTTGAATATATAGGCGGTCTCTCACAGTTCCTCCGCCGGAACGTCTTCTGCTTCACTTCCGAGCTCCTCCGCCACCAAATTTCGGTCTTCTTCTTCGCCGTCCTCATCCATGTCGCCTTCATCGTCCTCCTCCTCCTCATCGTCGTCGTCCTCACTACTAGAGCCGCTTCCGTCGCTCTCACTGTCACTCCCGGGATCGTAATCTTCCTCGTCCTCGTCCTCTTGATCTTCCAGCTCGCGTTGGGCTTTCTGTAGTTCACTTTCCTCCTCGACAGCCCCTTCCTCATTGGCAGCAGCTTCATCGTCTCCCTTGGCACTGTTGACATTGTATCGCTTCGCACGTCGTGCTTCGGCAAGACTGGCATCCTGCAGACCATGCTTTTTGATATAACCATCAATTCCGGAGAAGTCGGCCTGGTCGATCATGGAAAACTCGAATTCCTGCGTCTCTTCGCTTGACGTAGGCCGAGCTACAACATTGAGATTAAAGGTCCGTTGCAGGACAGATGTGTATGAGATTGAGTCGACGTTTTCAAAAGCAAAGAAGACCAGTGGTTTCTTGAACCCGAATAATATTCCCGTAGAAAGAAGGAAAAGATAGCCTGAGATGTAACATTCTTAGTCAAGGGGACATAAGGAAAGAACACGGCGTGCATACCTTCTTTACTGCCGCGGAAGGCCTTGACATGATAGGCCTTCTCCCCCTTGCGGTGAGCCTCAGGCATAGCACTCACGAACTCTCGCTCATCTGGGCGCACAACCTTGGTCCGTGGGAGGCTGTCGTTCAGTATCCGCTGGACGAGTTTATCAGCCGTTTCTTCGTTATCCGTTCCAAGCTGTTGTCCATTTCCTGAGAACGCTGCCTTGGGCGGTCCGTCGTTGACCGTCCATACGATGGCATCGGGAGCAGCTACACCTTCAGGTGGTGAGTTGACGCCGTCCGCATATTGGGGGATAATGCAGAAATTAAATTGTCGCTGGTTCTTCTCGGGAACGGGGAGGCACAAGACGTGCTCTGTTGTGATCCAACAACATTGTCAGCATTGACACCAATTCCGTCAACCATAGTTCTAGACATACGTATGTTATCCAAATGCACTCCAAACTCAACCTCCTTCGATGTCTGGTTTCTCGCACGCAGGAATCCCGCGGTGATTTCGAGTGTAAGCTTCTTCCGCTGGGGAACAGCAAAGGAAACATCCTGCATGTAGAATTGAAGCAAAGTATCGGCTTTCAGGTCACCGGAGGATTGGGCACTTGTAGCATTGCCATTCTGTAGTTTTCGTTTCTTCATGGCCGGGCCGTCGGTGACGACCTCGACAGGCCGAACGGGGGCGGTTGCAGTCCTGGCCAGCAGGCTGGAAGTGTATTTCGCGATATCTTCGAAGAGAAGTCCATGTTGCGGGGTATGTGCTGTTTACAGGATAAGAGGGTCAGCCGGCAGTCCTTGCACCTCCTATGGGGTTGTGGGGTGAAAGTAGATTGTTGTCTTAAGCGACATAACACGCACCGATCGCATCGTAAACCCGTTTTTTGAGCGCTGGTTGGGCGGCAAAGGCGTCCTCAATGGCCGGGATACTGGAGGGCACCGATGAGTTGATCGTGGCAAAAGCCATGCTGTGGAAGGTTGACAGCCCCAATGACGCTTATATATATAACCTGCGTAAGTCAAACCTGTTGAGGCCGCCTAGAACAAGGGAAGTTGAATGGGGGAGAATTGGGTAAACCGGGACGCGGATCGGATGGATGAAGAAAGAAAGTAATTAGCAAGGAACGCAGCTGCAGACCTCTCCCCTGGCGGCCCTGTCGACCCGTGGGCGCGCGCATCCATAATTTCGAGCGCATTTGGGGCAAAGTAGTCCGCAAAGATTGGGTCCGGTCGCGCCTACGTCCAGTCTTCTTGCGACGGATGTAACTGTACTCAAATCAACCTACAGTTTGGTACTGCAGGGAAGCAGCCTATCCATACTATTCATCTTATACATTCAGATTCTATGCTACAGTAGTATAATTGTGTACACCCATTGGAAAAAAAGGAAAAGGGAAATGAAACAGAAAAGACCCAGGCGCACTCTCCCACAAGTCGGAACACCAAACGAAATCCCAGCAAGCAATTAGGCTTTCTTGGTCGCTTTCTCCTTCATGAAGTTCTCAATGAATCCGACCGTCTTATCATCCAGGATGTAATTTCCATTGGCATCCTTCCTCGCGTTCTGGCGCTCCTGCCTCTTGGCTTGAAGCATGGCCAAGAATTCACCTCTGGGTGTCAACAAAGACCGGCTTTGCAGATATTCCCTTCTGTAGTCTTCCATCTTCCTGGCTTCCACCCACTCCTCATCGTGTCTCGTTCTGTACTTCGAAAACTTGTTGCGGAGTTCGTCCAGGACGCTGGGAGGGAATGGGGCGTAGTGCAACGACGGCATCCAAGTGGGCGTTTCAACTTCCATACGGAGCGTGTCCCAGGCCTCATCCTTCATTTCTGCAGGGTCACTTCGGGGCCAAGGAATCTCAATGTCTTCACCGGCAATGTATCTCGTGTGTCGGGGCGTTTCGGTACCGTAGTCGCGTTCGAGGAAAGGCTCTCCGCCGCGGACATGTTCAACCAATACATCTCGTGTGGCGCCGGTGACAGGATCATCGAGAGCGACAACAAGGCGAACATCGTCGATGGAAAGAGGCAGGCTCACGGACTGGAAGGGGCTCGAGTTGCCATACTGCTCATTCAGCCAGTCGGGGAAGTGGACATCGGCCTGTTATTGGAAAACCCAAGGATCAGCAAACGAAACAGTGGTTACTCCAGACATATTCTCATACCATGTTGAGATCCTTGACCACAACAGTCTCGGTCGTAGCATCCACCCTAGTAACCTCGTTGATCTTGCCCTTGTCTTTGCCCTTCATGATGCATACTCGGTCGCCGGGAGCAATGTTGATGTACTGTCTCCGCAAGTGCTCCGGAATAGGCGGAGGGTTCATTGCCTGAGGGCTTAACGCACCGAAAAGCCTCCCTTCAAGACCGGCATCACGCTGAGGAGCCAGGGGTCCACGGAGCCAGTCTTCACGGCGTCGCTGTCTTTCCGCGCGGAGGTTATCGAGCTCGATGCGGTTGTAGGCAAAGCGCTGCCTTAGACTGTCCTTCAATTCCTCGCGTTCGGCTGATTTGGAGGCTCGAACTGCTTTCCGTGTGGCCTGGTTCCGCGCCAGGGCGGTCCTTCGAATGACCTTCTGCATCTTGACTGTTGCCCAGCAATGGCCGATTGTTCCCGCGGAGTCACCAGGAAGCCTTGAGAGATGCTCGGGAGGGAAAATTGCGGCCCTGGTTCGTGCACGTGACCGGGACTATGGAGAGCCAATGGGGAAACCAAATGACGGGGTTCCGAAACTAGTACTCCTAAGTATGTACACACTGGAATTTGTCTCGTCACAACATTTGCTAGTGACTATTTATTTAGCAGTCTCTGAAGATCGTTTTGTTATAAGCACTGAATAAGTGAGTACATTCCAGCAGATATGCAGCAGCTACCATCAAAGAAAGCCTGGCCATAGCGCCAAAACTAGCACGTGCGCCTAGGACTAGGTACGTAGTACTCACATCAATACCTTTCCAAGGCCCCTCCGATCGAGACAGGGTGCACTTCATATTCAGGACTCAGTCTTACTTTAAGAAACCGAAGATCCTGAAAAGTGAAACCCAAATATATATGAGAAACGGAGAGAATCGTTTGACCAGTACGAATTGAAGCATCGTTATCAGTGTTTCTCAAACCATAGAGGCCAAAGAGGACTAATATAGACTGAGGATCTTAGACTTATTCTACAAAGCATATAAGTCGTTATGGCACAGGGCTGGCCATTAACCATAGATCAATTGCAACTATACTCGAGATCATCACTCATGTTCAACAAAGACTGGTCATACCATCTTCGTTTGGGTATAAGTGCTATTTTGGTCGTCTCCTATAGATGTAAACATCGTAACATCCAGTGTGCGGTGTTATTTGCAGGAGACTTGCTTTATATATCAGAAGAAAGAAGAGTGTATTATGTTGCAAATAGGTCATGCTACCTCTAAGGACCATTATAACCCACAAGGTTAGCCCTGTCCTCATAGTCTCCCAAAGAGTAACGCCAAATATTCCCGCTGCAGGCACTGATACTATAATAGAATATCTCAATCTTCTGAATTCTTGACGAATTCATATCAGCTGTGGTCTTCATGGCACACCCGCCATCCTCGTCAACCCCGAAGGCACAAGGGGTATGTCATCATTGTCAACAGGTATCCGTAGCAGGCAACAACATAGTGTTTCCAGTACATGCCCAGCGTCCTTCAGTGTACTCTGCTTTGTAAGATCACCGGCGAGCTAACGCAGGGACCTCTCGCGCGATGACTTGTTCAATGATGTGCGAGGTACTGAGTAGATCCTCCGGGAAGGTACACACACTCATGAGCTACCTGAATCCAACGTCCAAATCTATCGACACTGTGAAGTGGGTTGGCAGACAATTGTGTAGATTCGTAATCCATCGGTGACTACCATCCTTACTGCAAGAGGCCTCCTGTAGGACAAATGCCAATGTAGCGGATCTCTGGGACGGTGTCACCGATCATGTCTTACCACTGCTGAGAGTTACGGGTCCCCAAATGGATTCGGCACAGCATCTGACACGATCAGTAGGCAATAAGCAGGTTCGGTCAGACACAACAACAGCCTGCCAAGTCAGCCAGGCACAAGACTGAGCTAGCAGCATTTCGATAGCGTTTGCTGTCTGAGAGACTGACTCAGAACAGAGAAGATCATGTACTCTATAGGTGCACAGGACCTGCTCTCGTACAGCAACAAGACCCAGAAGGCCGTGGCAGATTATCTATGGTTGCTTTCTCCGCACGAAGGAACTCGGAGAGTACGGAAAATCGACTCCGTAGTGGAAGTAAAGCGTCTCGGCCGCGGACTTGCAGCATCTTTCCTGCACTTCCGCATTCCGCATACGAAACGTCAGCCAGGCCATTTGCTGAGTCTCAAGTGCGGTCACAACCACCCCACTTGACAACCAGCTATTTGGGTTGGTGACCATATACTCCGTGATCCTCTGCGTCTTTCGATCCTCGATCTGTTTTGATATTCATAAGAGGAAAGAGATAAAGGAGTTGCCTGCTTCCAGTCAAAGATGACGTTTGCACTGGAGGAATACGTACCGACCATGTTTGGTAAAGAGCATGGCGATCAATTGCACCGCCACGTCTCTTTGCTGTCGGTAATTGAAGGAAGCATCTCCCCCCCTAGCGGGTCTGGAAGGTTACCGTCATACCGCACCAGAAGTACGTACCTTTGTTACTCCTTCCAGGCTAAGCCTAATCCCCTCGGAAGGTCCGATGGTTATCTTGAGTGCCGATGGTCTGTCATTCTTCTGGAAATTGAAGGCACTTTGCAGGAAATATCATCATATTTACTCCATAATCCCCACAGAAAGGCTGGCTTGGTGATGAGTTGTTCGCTGAAAAAGCAATCTGACCGCTGCCTGGCTATACTCGGATCGCCAATGCAGACCGTACAGCAGGTATCTACACACTCAGTCTTGGATTATCGGGACATCCACAATGGAACGAATCAGCGTAAAGATAGGGCGCCTGCAGGGTTATCGTCTTTGGGTTATCCCTTCCACCACCAGCCGTCTACATCATTGCGAGCTGCAGACTATGATGTTATTTCTTGGGGCGGAGTACTCTGTGCGTGGTGTAGCACGATGTAATGAGTGATCCAAGATGCATAAGTGAAATCCAGCCGGTATGTCTGTCCAAGGAAGAAAGCTGGGGTAGCATGCAGGGAAACCCCGAATGAGTAAAGTAAAGCGAATCGAGGAATTGCTTGACCTCCCGAAAACTGTATTAAACTTGGAGGTCGTTGGCTTGATTGTCGCTATCTTTTACTTGCTGAAGCATGGAAGTGAGAGGAACACATAAGTTACAAAATACTTACTGTGGCAGCTTACCCAGACAACCGGAGGGACGCGACACCGCCGATTAGGAGAAGTATGGAGCCACAGCCGACAGCTCCGACTCTCTGGGGCGCCCACAGGCTTCTAGGCTCTCTCCGACTATGGTGACGGTAACTATGGTGTCGACAGAAGTTCTTTTATTGTGGATGTAGAATGGACCATGTTACTGGTAGTACTATCACGAATTATATTGAAGATGACATGGCCTCAATTGTAGGAGGCAATTTTTGTTTACCTTTTTACTTTTGCAGTTCCCCCCCCCCCCCCCCAATCTCTCCTTCGAAATTGTTCGGAAGATAAGCCCGCGGAATATAGAAGAAGGCTAAGGCAATGCAGTCTGACGACTGACAACTATTCAGTGCTTAGTCTATCTAACTAACTTACCACTACGCAGCCGAGATGGACCGAAGAACTAGTTAGGTTGGAGCTTAATAGCAGCAAAAAAGGAGCTCAACTATTACAGGGGAAGAGATTGGATGAAGGTTGACTGGGCTGAATGCCTGGGAATGAATACATAGTCGTAAACACGGGCCACGACAATACGTAAGTGCCACTGATACTCGTAGGTAATGTCGATTATTACTGCGTTCACCCTGTCATTAGTCTTCAGCCACGGTGGCTTCGACGGAGAATGAAGGCAGACCAAACTAGGCAGCTAAGTAAGCAGGATTGTCGAAGGAGACAAACTAGGTCACGAGCGAAACAAATTCGGTGCCTATTAAAAGGAGGTACTAAGTTGATGGAAGAAAAGGAGTGATGGCAATTGTAGAGATGGAAAAGAAAGAAAGAAAAGAAAGAGAAAGAAAGGGCGTGGAACGATTATCCGACATCTCTCGTCTGGTTGGCCCATAAACCATTTTATTAAATTCCAATGCGATACAAGCCATCAAACTGTACTGTGTCCTACTGAGGAGACTGGGAAAGCATATCACGTCATTCCCAAGTATGATACTTTTATTTTTTCTTCTTTCTGCCTTTTGTTCCGTAGTAGTCATCTACATACAGTAACTAATAAGAATGTGTCCAAGATGGGAGGAAAGAGAATAAATTAATCGAATCACATGAATGGGGAAATTGGAGTGAAAGGGGAGAGAGAGTGGGTGGAAAATAGAATCGTCATAATCTGAATCAAATCAAATCAAAATAAAATAAAAAATAATAAAAGAACTAACTGGCTTTCACAGCCACATAGCATTTTCACCAGGAAAGGTGGATGGGGCTGGGCCAAATGTCGCTTGCCAACCGTTTCAGGCCCTTCTAGTCTGGGTTTGGTCAGGTTCCTTTCCTTAGTCACCCTACTTTTCGGGAACAGGGAGCCTCACCTGAAAGGACGGGGGAACGAAGTTACGAAAGAACAGAACGTCGCCCAAACGAAGGAGGAGCCAAAAGCCAGCCCTGGGGCCAACCGCCGATAACTGACCCATACACACGCCAGCAGCAAAGCAGCAGCAGCAGTACCAATCCAGCTGCACCAAGCATTGTCTCTCTCCCTCTCCTCTCTTTCTCTCTCTCTCTCCCTCTCCCTCTCTTCTCTTCCATCCTTCTATCAACAACCTTCTCCTCCCTTCCTCATCATTGTTCCTTTGGGAACTTTTTTTTTTCTACCTTTCGTGCCATTCTTTCCTCGTAAACTCATTTGTTGGGTTTATTACTGGAAACTCTTGGCTCGGCCATTCACCCTGCCTTTCCCTCCCTGAATATTTTAGTCCGCGCCCGTTGCGCCTACGACTCCCCTGCACCGTACGTGATAACCCTTTTCCTCGGGCGCCTGACTTGTCCCTTTCTCTACTCTCAACTTCCCCCATCCAACACCCCCATCCATCCACTCCTGCAACAACAGCTTCCCACCTCGCTCGTTGTCGTTGGCCACTCTTTCACCACATCATCCCCTTTATTTCTATTCAACTTCTCTTCCTCCTCGTCCTTTGCTAATCCTCCACGCTTTGAAAGATGGCTGAAATCCGCCGCAAGCTCGTCATCGTGGGCGATGGTGCCTGCGGTAAGACTTGTCTTTTGATGTGAGTATCCTCCCTTCTTCTAATTTCGCTACATAGGGATCAAGCAGTGAACTAACTCTGGCTTCTTTTTTTCACCAGCGTCTTCTCCAAGGGTACCTTCCCTGAGGTTAGCTTCCACCGACCCTCCTGACCTGGTCCTTATTGCCGTCTTTCACCCCCCATGGCCATCCCGAGATATCTGGCTAGCCTTCCAGTCAACAAGCACTCCGCTTCTGTTAAGCTGACCTATCACGCTTTAGGTGTACGTCCCTACCGTCTTCGAGAACTACGTCGCCGACGTAGAGGTCGATGGCAAGCACGTCGAGCTTGCCCTTTGGGATACGGCTGGTCAGGAAGATTATGACCGTCTTCGTCCTCTTTCATACCCTGACTCCCATGTCATCCTGATCTGTTTCGCGGTTGACTCTCCCGATTCTCTCGACAACGTCCAGGAGAAGGTTAGTTCTCCGCGACATGCCTGGTCTCCTTAGCGGGCAGATGGGCAAAGGACCTACTTTCCAGATAACTAATATCATTACAGTGGATCTCTGAGGTCCTCCACTTCTGTCAGGGACTCCCCATCATCCTTGTTGGCTGCAAGATGGATCTGCGCCACGACCCCAAGACCATCGAGGAGCTTCACAAGACCTCCCAAAAGCCGGTTACCCCTGAGCAGGTATGTGGCACACGACCAAAAGGATGCATCATCCCCCGATATAGAGGCTAATATGCGATTAGGGTGAGGAGGTTCGCAAGAAGATCGGTGCTTACAAGTACCTTGAGTGCTCTGCGCGCACCAACGAGGGTGTCCGCGAGGTCTTCGAGGCTGCCACCCGGGCTGCCCTTCTTACGAAGACCCACAAGAGTAAGAAGAAGTGCACTATCCTGTAAACTAGTTTTCTCTCCTTCGCAAAAGGTCTGTTTCATGCGGAGATTATATGAACGGATAAGCGTCTGATCCTTTGGTTTTCTACTATTTATTAAGAGGGGGTCATTCCGTTGGCGTGTTCCACTATGTGTGCCCGGATGCGAGTGTGGATAATGTTCAATCACGGGCACATGAGCTTCATGGGATATCTGGCTATGCACTTGGTCGACTTTCTATTTTGCAGACTTGATTTGATTTTCTAGGGAGGCGTTGTCTTCATAACCTCGTGGGTTTTTTCTTTTTTTCTTTCCTATCGGTTTCCAGCTCCATAGGCGCCTAACGGGATGGTTCTCGGTCACTATGGCAAGAAGGGCGCCAGGTTGCCTTCAAAGCAAACGTCCTCGCTACCCCCGAGTACTGCAGATCGGAATTGAGCAACTGGGGAATGCGTTCGTCTCACGTCTCTCCCATCAGTCAAATCTCTCGAATGTATCCGGTCCAAGGAAAGAAAAAGAAGTCGAGAATCGGAATCCCGATTCTCACTTTGTACGGATTCCCCTCAGCACAGTCTTATCCCCCACTTCTGTTGTTTTTTCCCCTGTTTCGGTTAAAGAGAATGCATGGAATTTGTCGTTGGCTTGGTTTTCTCCTACATGTCCTGCAGCCTATCCAGTCGAAACTGCACTGCATCATGTTCTATCATCATGGTCTCCGAGCAGACATGAGGAATATCTAGCACGCCTATTAAGTTACTATTTACTAATCCACCATTTTCTCCCACTCCTTCCTCGTACTGTGATCCTGTTGTGTATGCACTGCGTATTCTCCTAGTACAACCGTCTATTTTAGCATCCGTACTTTTTGACCCATATCAGTAGACTGACGAGTGGTACGCATACTACCTCAAATAGCAACACTCCATAGCCTAACATAGCGATATTCGGCAGCCTACAGACAGGGAAGGGGGGTGTGGATAGTAGACAGCAAGCCAAGGGGGGATTTGCCAATCCACTGATAGCTAGCGTCTAATGATAGTAACAACTAGCCGAACTAGATAGAAGTCAAGACGTAAGTTCAACCACGACCACTCATCCTGGTTTCTCCATCTATATATGGAAACTCGATAGTAGTGAGGAAAACAAGGAACAAATAGATAGATTAGTAGTAGATATATTTATAAAGCAGAAGATATAATGTAGTCATATATAGTATAAGTATGATAGAAATAGGAATTAAGTTGTTACTTATGCGGTATGTAATAATCCCCGTTCAATTTCAATTGTTTTCATACATACATACGTTCGTACCGGCGGTTCTGTTTGTGACTTACGGACGGGACTAATCGTTTTCAGGGGTAATGAACTATCCTAACTACGTACACAATTGTGTACCTGGGTTTTCTTCCCTACATGACTATGTACTTTTTATTCATAGGAAGAAGTGGGTGTAGTTCATATTTGATTTGTATATTTTTGTTATATGCATGCTGATAGATGATCTAGTCACTGGGTGTTCCGCTATAGGTACTTGAGGACTGAAATATATACATCATGAGTTTAGCATAACAAATTCAAGGTGGATTATTGAATCAAGGCACGATTAACTACTCAGTTTCATTGCCTGTCATATCTTGCATATCTACTTCACTGTATCTCATGCTTCTTTTTACTCCGAGTCATGTATCGTGTGAAGCATCTATCAAATTTCTGCCTCGCTTGTAGGTGGGTTTTATCTGTGGGTATGATCTTCGTTTTGAGTGGATAGTGAATTATTTATCTTCGGCTACAGTAGTACTTACAGTTGCTATTCTCCTTTGTCTGATTGGTTCAGTATTCAATGTATTAGAGGTGGTAACACTGGCAGGGTGAATGATCTACCATATTCATTGAAAATAGTGACTGTCAAAGAATACCAATCGAGTCTCTTTATTGGTTCGTAAATGTATATATATCATGTCGTGTCTTATCTATTCAAGCTGAGCAAATTCTCAATATATCGTCTTGCGTCCAGGCCCAGCCCTTCGACAAGTTTCCCCGGTCCTGTATCGGTCCGCGATGCTTGCAATCCCGGCGACGACGCCCCGCCCAGATCGCGGAAGAACCGAGTGCTGCTACTGTTGCGTGCATGTCCGGACGGAGAGACGGAGTCACTGGATCTGCGGACGATGAATGCTTCCTGAAGGGGGGCATTATTGCTGTCCGGTTCCGTGTTGGTCTGGACACTGGCGTTGGAGGCTGTGCTCCCTTGTTCTTGTCTGGGAGGCTCGGACATTCGGATCCAGACGATCCACCAGCCGCGGCTGGTCTTGCAGGTTCTTTCGACCTCGAGAGGTCGCGAGCGGGTTTCAAGGTGGGTGCTCAAGAGTCGGTGGTGGATATTGAGGCTCTCGACGCGCGACCATGGGTGTGTGGCTGGATCCCGGGGTTCGTTGACGGTGGACCCAAGGTCTGGTATGTTCGGGATTGAAGAGCGGATTGTTAAGTTTGTTTGATCGTAGACTAGATTGTAGACGGGCTGGGTTTTGCCGGTAAATCGCTTGTTGATGTCGAGGGCGTTATCGGACATGGAAATGCGAAGTTCTGCGGTGGCAGGTGATGTGGAATTGCTGAGAGACTTGTGGAGCGGGCTGAGTTGGTGGCTGATGGTTTGATATAGCGTCGGGTCGGATAGAGTCGAGGTTGCGGGATCAAATAGAAATGTATATATGAATGGTTGATGCTGTAAGTCTGTTAGTTCAGGTAGTAAGGCTGTGTGGTATGGGGAAGACATACAATATAGACTACTGCTTGCAGTTCTGTCAAGCCTTAGGCGAAGCTGGTTAGCTGTGGACGGTCTAATCACACATTGAATCCCTTACCTGTTAGAGCCGGCTCCGTAGACTCTGACAATTGAATGTGCAAGCGTCTGTAGTTTATATTATTCTGCGATGGCCCTGTCTGACTTTCCGTTGGGTCAGAGCCCTCTTGCATAGGTGCACTCTGATTGTCAGTATTAGAAAGCAGGCCAACGAGAAATTTCCCACAGCTCTGAATCTTTTTGCCCTCACTGGGCTGAAGATCCTCCCCATTAATGGCTCCCGGGGCATCAGTAGACAAATCCGTCTGTTTGTCTGGACTCATCGGCCTGTCTTCTCGCTTTATAGCCTCGACTCGCGGGTGTGGACTGGCTGTTCCCGACGATACTCCCCAAGACGAGCCATAGCCAAGAGTGAGATATTTCACAAATGTCTCTGTCCTGAAGCCTATCCAATCGTTTCCTCGATCGCTTCCTACTGGTGAGCTCTCGCCACTGGTATGTGAGCTCGACTTCTGTGGAGCCTGCGGAGACTCCGCTGTTCCTACCACGAGTGGAGGTGGTATACCTGGAGAGAAAGGGCGATCGGGTGTTGCAGCTTGAGGTTCCGCCATCATTTGCTTGGTGGGATCGCTTCCAGCTAGTTTGCTGCGGTGCTTTCTTCGCCGCTTTCGACGACGTGGTGAGCTTGGGTCTTCGCCTACACCGTATGCGTCGGCGCCGTATCTATAGATTGATTCCATCCATTGTGAGATTCGCAAGAGGGATGGTCTAGAGACTGCTCCGACTCCTGAGAATATAACGCCATCTGCCGGCCTAGGGCAGGCTCCCGAGCCAAGCCATCGATCCTCGCCGTCACCTATGTTCAGCGAATCTCCTGGTCTGTTGTTTGCTGCCGGTTCCTTGTCAGAGGAGCCAGGATCACCAAATCGTGAGACGACCAGGTCCAGGAGGCCATCTGTGCGGGCGACAAAGTCCTCTAAAACCTCCCTCTCCCCGCTTCCCCACTCTTCTTCGCCAACGCCGATTCCGAGTTCACCCCCAGCGGAGAGCTTGACGCCATTGTATATGTCAACAGCGGGGTTTCCGCTTAGAAGAACCTCCCAGGTCCATGCGAACCTCCACCAGAAATTATCAACAAGAGCACAGAATGTGGGTCTACCAACACGGCTGTATAAGGCGTCAAGTGTCGAATCGTGGTGGAGAAGAAAGATGGAGTGGGCTCGACGCAGTTGTTGTATTAGCAAAGCAGGAGGAGACATCTCCCTTGAGGAATAGCTGAATGAAGAAGACGAGGCATCGCGCTGAGAGGAAGTTGTGCTAGGTTGATCAAGTGGGAGGCGAGTTAGGTCGACAGACTGTAACAAGCTCAGCAGCTATTGATGTGATGCTCCGGCGCAAGTCTACCTACAGCTAGAATCCACCAGTCCTTCTCAAGTTCATGTAGAATAATCTGCGACTTTTCGGTTTCGACGTAATCGACTGCTTTCCCTTGCGAAAAGTCCCTAGGATCATTAGTACGGCGCCAGTTGTGGTAGAACGATGTAGAGCGAATCCCACCTGGCAAAGCCTACCATGCCCTGAGCCAGTCCTATCTGTCGCAAGATCTCATTCCAGTAATCGTTGGAGTATTGGTCGCCATCGTCAGCCGCGGAGCCTTCACGTCGGCGCGATCGACCCGATCGAGATGTATAGAAGACGACTTGGTCGCGGATTGTCTCGTCGGTCGGACCGAGGCGGGGGTTGTATATAGCGAGGAACGACAGTTGCGCAGGAATCACTGACGCTAAATCACTCTCCGGCATTGCACCATCGAACCGTGAGCTCCAGCTCACAGTGAAGCAGTGCAGTTGGGTGAGAAACACTCATCGTCACCAGACGGACTGGAGTAGTGGGCGGCGGTGACATCACGTGGTGGAGATGGGAGGTCGGCGAACTTGCCGGAGCTGCTGCGGATGCGACTGTTTGATTGTTCCGTCACCCGCAAATCGCCGCCGTCAATTGCTGGCCATGTTTCTCTTGCGGGGACCTGGAGCTCTCTGTGCCTACAGACGAGCCGGTCTTTTCCCATCCTTGTCACATAGATGCCTCGCGACGAAGGCCTACGACCCACTCCGGATTCTCTTTTGCGGATCTGACGATTTCAGCATAGCTTCGTTGAAAGCTCTCCATGAAGAACATGTCAAGCGACCGGATCGGATTGCCTCAATTGATGTCGTTTGCAGACCAGGGAAGAAGGTTGGAAGAGGGTTGAAGCAGATCCGCGAGGGTACTTATCTAGGCAAGCTTGACAAGTTGTTCGCGCAGCTAATTGTTTTTATCTTGCAGTTCCCATCAAAGCGGCCGCAACGGAGTTGTCGCTTCCGATCCACGAGATAGATACTTTTCGAGGCTGGACGGTAACTCGCAGCTGTTGATACCTGCTATGGCTACGTGCTGACACTGTTAGCCGCCTACGCTACCCGGTGGCCCTATAAACCTGATCATTGCCGTCTCATTTGGGCTGTTCGTACCTCCGCGGCTTCTCAACGGCGCGAAGTATGGAGGTCTAAATGTCCATCCATCGTTGCTTCCCGAGTATGCAGTCGCAGATTACCCACGAACGGACCCCGCTAACACAATACTTGAAGCTTCCGGGGCCCTGCACCACTACATCATACCTTGTTAGCCGGTAAAACTAAGACCGGTGTCACCCTTCAGACGCTTGATCTCAAGCACTTCGATCATGGCACTATCCTGGCGCAGACTCCAGCCCCTGGCTTCGACATTCCCAATCCCGATGCATGCACAGTACCCGATTTATTAAATCTAGTCTGTCCGAAGGGCGCGGATATTCTCGTTAAGGGTATACGGGAAGGTCTCTTTGTTCCCCCGGTGGAAGATGCGGGCTGGCGAGCCTCTGAAGGAGACGGCCCATTGGTCCATGCGGCCAAGATCAAGCCGGAGGACAGGCATATCGATTGGCAAAACTGGTCATCCCTGGACATTAGCAGAAGGAATCGCGTTTTGGGTCCACTCTGGAGTAAGGCATTGGTTGCCAGCAACGCGTCCAGTGAAAAGCCTTCCTTCCAACACCGGCGAGTTATCTTCACTGAGTTTGAAGAAGTAACACCACTCAAAGGCTGCGACAAGTTCTCTGTTGTTCCAGGCTTGCCATTTGTGGATGGCACGCATCCCATCGATTCTACAAAGGGAAAGGGCGTTTACGTGTTCACGCGAGATGGGAAGCTCATTATGGTACACCAGATGAAAGTGGAGGGGGAGCCGAATGCCGACGCTCTTCGCGCTGCTCTGAAGGCTCGGATGGTTGGTGACCGGACATTTTACTCTGGTGAAGTGGGCTTTACGCCGTTTTACAACCCTCTTGTGTAGGGGACTGGTGATAAAAGTAAACTGATATGTGTTCTATCTTGCTAACGTCATGATACCAGCTCTAGCACTTAATATTTACCCGTTCCAGTGCCCAATGCCACATCAGAAAGTCTACTTCGCAAGGCTCCACATTTTCTCTATTTGAAGGAGAAGCCGGAATCTGAAAAGTTAGTTTTGTTGTAGACAACAAAAGCAAGAGCACTCACCGATCTGTATCTCTTGCCCAGTCATAGATGAGTTTTGCGCAAGCATGACATATGCTTGAGCAGCGTCTTCAAGCTCAGGCTGTTCACGACCTCGTTAATAGGCGGAAACCGTGCATGGATTGGTCAAGAGCCTTACCACTTTCTTAAGGGCTGTCTTTGCCGTCCACCCCTCAATTGCTTGGGCAGGGAAGCGCTGGCCCTATGGTTCGTCCACATTAGCTCTCCCGCGACTCCACTACAACTGCGATGGCGCTACTTACCCATTCAGTCAAAAGAAGGCCAGGAAGAACCGCATTCACGCGGACCTTGCTACCTTGAGTGTGTGCAAGGCATTTCACCATGTGCAGTCCTGTTGCTGATGTTAACGGGGATGCAAAGCGTTCATTGCGGTTTGCGTACCTCCTGCTTTAGTGATCGCATATGGCAAGCTGCTTCCAGTTGGCGAAACGGCCTATCTTGCAGGTCAACACTTGCGCATCTTACCACGCGACCTTCGTAGAGGACCTACCGCAATAGATGAGGTTAGCAGGAACACGCCACCCTCGGGGTTTGCGTTGAATGTGGGCAGTGCTGCTTTGAAAAGATAGAAATGGCCTTTTACGTTCATTGACCAGCACTGAGGAATTCGTTAGCCTTGCAAATCACGGCGACCCTCTACAGGGTTCACCCCATTGTGACACCTACTCTATCCCATTCCTCGTCATTCATAGCGTCCAAGTCATTGAACTTGGTCATTTTGGTCCAACCCTGGCCATGCGTTCAGTCAATTTTCCCCTATTGCTGACACGGACCGGGATAGTAGCGACTCACTGCGTTCGAAACAATGATATCCAGGCCCCCCAACTGATCAATGGTGGCCTTGACAGCGTTAATGCAGTCATTCTGAACACCGGCATCCTAAATGATACAGCCACGATATCAGTCCAGCACTCCGTCAATGACACTCGTCACAACCTACACCTTGTATAGTAATAGCCTTGACCTTGTAACTCTCTTGAAGTTCCGCGGCCAATTTCTCAGCAGCGTCTTTGCTCGAAGCGTAATTGATGGCGACATTGCAACCCTCGGCGGCGTATTTCTGGGCTACAAGAGCACCCAGCCCTCTGAACATCCCATATCGTCAACAAATGCTCCAAAAAGGTGAACACAACGGAGCGAGTGAACATACCGTGAGCCGCCCGTGATGAGAGCAACGCGATTGCGCAGAGAATACATGATTATATGGCTAGATAGTTGATTGAATCGATAGAAGCAGATTTAGCAGAGCTGAGTCGACCTGAGGACACACCGAAGTAGTAGATAAGTACTTGACGAAGCGGGGTCAATCGGAGCTTATGTCGGCGGCGCTCATCTACTTAACTAATGCCTGCTGCGGAACCCTCCGTCCGACTAGTACGTGACTTACGGTCTTTTTGTCTACTTGCAGACGGTCTTTTTGTCTACTTGCAGGGTTGGAGGGGGTGGTGCACCTGCACTACATAGCTGCGCTTTTTCTACTATAAGGCCCAAGAATGCTGTTGGGTTTTCAGTCTTAGTGAGTCTAATTGTGGTATCATCATTGTCCAAGAACAATCGGTTTCCAGATCACCCCTGCCAGGTACAATGCAGAAGAAACTGAAAAGAGGGGAGTCCAACCTTACTGTCTCCATGTATACCTCGGTTCGGCCCCTCGATGTGGTCCCGCCGCCGACTGATCGCCCGTAGGGCCCGACAGCTTGTTCTTGCTAAGAAACATGGTGGATGACCCGACAGTCGATTTTAAATGTCCAAGGGGTATCATGTATGATATGTCTATAGATACAAGAAGCTAAGATCAAATCGCAAGACACCGGAAAGCAATCGAAGTTTTGAAGGCTTGTAGAATCGGAGAATCAACACCGGACACTCAATCCATAAGTGTACCAACGTATTCTGTCTCTTTCATTCCCGGCCACGCCTTCTTCCCTGCTAATGCGGGCCACTGAACCAGGAATCGATCTGCCAGAGGCAACAGGAGCTTCCCCGACAGGCTCAATGTAGTCACGCGAGCCCACGATTCTACGAAGATTGTGCGCAGCTGGTAGGTACCCGGCGCGAGCACTGGCGCTGTTGCAGAGTCACTTTCTGATGTGCTTTTTCCGGGCGCAGAAGGAGAAATCAGCCCGCACAAGAACAGCCATAGACGAAGTAGCCGGGCGGCAACGACGACGCAGACCGCGGTGGCAGGGCCATTGGTGAGGATGAGGTCCGGGTATGGAGAGGATAGATGCGACGCTGGGCGAGAATGTCGGCTCTGGTCCGGATGAAGACCACGCAAGACCGAGAGACAGGACCAGAAGGAGTTCAGTGTAGAGAAAGGCGCACTCAGGTAGGATTGGTGTACGCGACGGGCGCGGGGTACCGTGACGATGGTGTAGGAGGGGTCTGGCGATGCGGCTTTGGCATTGGAATTGACATGATGGTTTATATGGGTTGTTTCGAACTCAACAGCTTTCGTCGCGCTGAAATTGTCCCCAGAGCTTACGATGTAGGTTCGATGGGTGTATTTGGACGGATCTAGGTTCATGCGCCGGAGCATAGAGAACATCTCGGCTGTGTGGCCGCCGCTACCGAGGACTATTAGAAGATGAACCGGGGAGTTTCGCGGGCGCCATTTGGGGACTTGGCTGTTTTGTGATTTGGCGAGAGCGTAGATGAGGACCTGAAAGTTATCGAGTGGGTGGATTAGCTTTGGTTGTATATAGGGGAGATGATGTGCAAGGAATTGCTTACAATGAGCGTAAATATGCAGGCTGTGGCAGTAAAGCCGATAGCCAGGAAGAGGCTAGTCCAGGATAGCCATGACTCCATGGGATTGAGAGGTTGCTGTATGTATTGTTTGAGATGAACCGAAGATGTGTTATTGAGGATGTGGCAGGTTCCAGAGTTGTCGCAGTTGTCGCATGCGGCCGGCGGAACGAATGAACTCTATGTATATAGTGACAGCGCATTAAAAGGCGGAGACTTCTTCTTCAAACCTTGTCAGACCAGCCCCATAGCTAGTTACGACAATAGCTGGGGAGCGACAAGTGAATGAGGAGTAATTGTTGCGGGGGGCGTTAGATGCTTGGGGATCTATCTGGAAGCTGGATAACTATCCAGGCACGTGGTCCGTGCTAGTCTCGGCGATTATTTTGGTGTTGTTGTCTTAACTCCTTCCTCTGATTTCCCCCCATCGTCCATCCCATTTCTTATCGTCACCGCCATCAATGTCCACCTACACGGCTTGAGATGGCTTCATTGTTCGCTAAGCGATTCAAATGCTTTTATTGCGGGCGTCGCTCGGCCCACTCCGACAGCGACACTGCCCGCAAATGGCGTTGCAAACATTGCGAAGCCGTCAACTACCTGGATGAGGTAAGTCCCGTGTTTTGTGTATTCCGGCGTCAAGCAGGATTTCAAGTACTGATTGCCTCGGCGGTTGCGCTTCATAGAAAGGAGAAATCACGGATCCTCCCGCTGCAGAAACAAATCCAGACGTCTACGGTCCCGGGGCATCGAGCCCGCCATTCGAATCCACCGACTTTACAGCCTCCAGCTTATTCTGCGCCCAGTGTCTTCGAAACCAACACCTCTTTACCAGCGCTTTGGCGTCCTATTTTCCGTCATCTGATGATCCAAACTACAGCGCATATGAGAAGGAGTACCCCAAATTTCGCAAGAACTTAGAGGAGCGTTATCCGCAGGTGTGCGTCAAATGCGAACCCAGAGTGAAGCAACGCATACGTCAGGCAGGATATGAAGCAAAGTCAGACCACCTGAGACGCATGATGGACCGGAGTAAAGCTGGAAGGGCCGCTCGGCAAGCACGTCGATGGAACTGGAGGAACCTGTTGGTCTTAGCTGGTGCTCTGGGTTACTGGATTAGTGTTGCTGGTCAACTTAGCTGGAATGTGTGGAGTGCTTTGACTGTTGAGGAGTGGGAACCGCTGCAGGATCCAGACTCCCCCTCGATGTCGCCTTCTATTATCTCTTGTGTGAACCTTCTCTTCGAGACCCGCCGCGTGCCGAACCATTGCTCAGTAGACCTGGCACCGTACGCCGGTCTTGCGCTGATTGCAGGCATTCTGTCCATTTGGTGGAACCCGAAATTGAGACTCAAAGTTGAAGGGCGAGGAGGTCGCTTCGTGAAACTAGGAGAGTACTACCAGGTTCAGCTCATTATTTTGGTGGTGCGATGCGCTTTCTGGGGCGTCTTAAGGGATCCGTCATCAAGTGGACTGCCACCAGACCTGCCACCAACATTGCATCTCTTCATGATCTTCTTCACAATTATGGTGAGCTAATCATCTGACAACTATTATCTGAGCCCAGCATGCTAATAAATTCTCAGTCTGTCATGGTCTCCCGGCGGATAGTGCGCTACGATACCCGGCCATTGGTAGACTGGACCGATGACACGCCTGCAGCCACGCCAAACCGCAGAACCGAAGCTTCCCCTCCGCCCTCTACGACTACCGGACAGGAGTTTTCGACCCCAAGCTCCAATCTTCGGCAGCGCACCTCTCGTTTCCCTCTCGAAAAGCTAGGCACCCCAAGGGCGACCACACCGCGGGCAGCCCTCGAGACCCCAACTATTCCCACACCACCTCCAGAATCGGATGACATGGACTGGACTCCCTCCGTGCAGCACGAACTCACACCGACTGTCAGCGTTCATCAAAGGGATCAGAAGTCCGTGCTCGATGGGCCGATGCCTTTTTATGGATCCGTTCCTGCTGCACCACAGCCACCCGCATGGAACCTGCGCAATAAACCCGCTCAGCGTGTGAAACCAATCGAACAAGTCGTTGAACGCAACCCATTCCACCGCACTCCTACTCAAAACCTCCGATGGCATCGCAACCAAAACAGCCCAGACTCGGTGTTTGCACCTCCTAAGTTTTTCCCTGTGAGCGACCATGCTGCGACTACCGGACTCGAAAGTTTGTTTGACCGAACCTTCACTATCAAGTCGCCCGAGGATGAAGAGGACAGCTCTTGGCAGTCTCGCCATCAATCATCGAACTCACACTCTCGCCAGTCTGCCAACTTGCGGGGTTATTTTGTGTACCAATATCTTCGATTAGGCCTGCTACTTGTCTCACTCGTTACCTGGGTCCTCTCACAGTATGACCGCTTGTCAATCCCAGGGAACTATGTAGAGGTGGCCTCCTTGGGCAGTGCTAGCCTGATTGCTGGATTCGCTCTCTTGGAGGCCCTCAAGCAACCTATCGTGCAGTGGAACGGCATGGAAATTCTTGTTTACTTTGCGGAGCTTGTGGCAGCTGTCCACCTCGGCGGGAACCTGCCGCGAGTGTCAATCGAGCGCCATTACTTCGACAGATACGGCCAGCTACTTCTGGTGTTCATGGCGGTCCAGGAGGCGCTGGGTCTGCTCTCGCTATACAATATAGCCAGGGCAAGCAGCACTGGTCTTCAGCCACAACAATCGGGGCATAACTCGCCATCGAATGGCGAGAATCCCGGGCACTCTCCTCAACCGGCAATCGATAACCAACCCCTGCAATCATTCTCTTCTCAGCGGTCTGCGCCGCCCCTTTCTTTCTCTTCTACTCTCCCAACCTCTAGCTTTGCGACACAATCGCCGGAGCCGTACTACTCGCTTGCACCCTCCCCATATGACGGGTCTTCCAGCAAGGATCATAGCTTCAGTCTCAAAAGTCTGAAAGGGAACGATTCTGACGCCTCAGATTATTACGATCGAGACTCAGACACGGAGACAACCGTGACTACCGCAACCACGGCTACTAGCAACACCGTCCGGAACATCCGGTACGGACGGGCTGCCAGCGAAGCGATGTTCTCGCCACGACGAACCGAGCTGGGACCCGGAATTGGAGGGTTGAGTCTCGAAGATAGGCCCGCCCGGCGAGTCACCCGGAGCCAGTCGAAACTCCAAGGCGAGGGCTTTCGTCGGTTTCCGACTCGGGGCCTGAAATAGGCCTGTTTCTGATCTTTTCTGCTTTTGTCGGAATTTTCTTTCTTGTGCTTCTACTTTCGCATACTGTTCCAGGGTACATCATCTTCAGCGCTTGCACTAGAGGAGTTGGGTTAGCTGTGCCTTGATTGTATTCAACCTGTTCACACTGTTCATACGCGGATCGCATATTGCGGGGGTTTATTGTACTTCTGTTCTTCGTTTCCTACTTCATCTTAGGTCCTCGTGGAGATTGTTTCGGGTGTTTGGGGGGTTGTACATAGCAGGTAGAATACATACGACTTATGAATGATGACTGAATATCATACAATGTGACTATCCCAAGGTAGATTATGTAGTATGTCGAACTTATTTCTTTCTGTATGTGCATCACGGGTTCTAGTGAGCTGACCAATAACTACCGTAGCCGACATTGCGTGATTGTCAGCAATTGCATGTTTCAAACCCAACCCAAGACAAGACCGTTATAGTAGATCATAGTGAACCCAGAAAACCAGACGATGCGATGACACATACTCTAGTCTTCATACATAACCGCAGAGTAGTATACATAGCATACAGTAGTCTATAGCAATATAGTAATCTATCGTACATGAAGTAGAGGCGATGCAATATGAAGTGAAGAGGGTAGTAATCTCGTGTCTAGACCCACCCAAAATTAGTCGCAATAAACTTAGCGAGTTCCTCTATAGTAGCTGCATCCTCCTCCGCCCCCAACTGTTCGTATAGAATCTCCTTCCAGTGGGTCGGCCGGATCTCGTGAAGCTTACGCCCCTTGAGTGCCTCCTGCAGACGGGCAGCCTGCTCCGAGCCGACGGAGGAATCGGACGAGACGGAGATGTGGCTCTCCAGGATGGCTCCGTGTTTGAGGCGGAGAAACACACGTGTCTGTGTTGTTTAATTGGGTTAGTTATAGATTGTTGCTTACTGATGCCAAGAGAAAGGGAAAGCGCCATCTTACAGAAGGAGGTAGGGATGATGGAAGGGCGGGGCGTTCGCGAGGGTCCTCTTCCACGGGGTAAGTCGAGAAGATGAATTGGGGCGTTTGCGTGTATTTCCATTCCAGTGACTGTTGCAAATTTTCAATACTGTGTTAGTTTACGGTTTCTTGGCTTCGACTTGTCGGGGTGTCGAGCAGCGACTCACTCGTAATTCGTCGAAGCCTTTCTTGATCTCGGGCTCTTCGTAGCCTTGGGCTTCTCCCACCGCTCCGACGACCCAGTCGTCTCCTGCGTAAAGCTCTGCATCGTGGACATAGGCACGCTGCGCGCGGCGCACAGCATCCGGATTGGTCTGGTATAGCTCTGCAAACTCCGACATGATATTGGCGATCACGTCTTGAATTCCGAATGGGATGGAGGCGTCGGCAAACACGGACGATACATTGGCGACGGGAGATCGCACACTTTCCACGCCTTTGGCCTTGATGTAATCTCGTGCGGGCGATCGTAAGAACGAACCGAGGGAGTTGATGTTGGGCGAATCGAGTAGGCAGGTGCCGTGGTGAAGCGCGCGGTGTCGCGTAAGCTTGAACGCTGAGCCGGAGATCTTTCGAGGTTGGGATTGCCCTTCGTCAAGGGACATGACGATGTCGTGGCGGTCATTGACGCTGGTAGTGGTCGCTCCGACACGGTGCAATGCGCGCACGACCATCTCCGCATGTTTGTTGCGTGTGAATGTCGGTCGCGGGGAGATCACGCTGTAGTTGAGATTGCCCTCGTCGTGAAAGACGGCACCACCGCCAGACCGTCGTCGGACGTAGAGTGCATCTTCGGTGTCGTTGTAGGAGTGGATTCCGTGCTCCGCGGTTCCGCGGTCATTATGTAGCACTCGGAGGTTGGTCTCGAGCCATGGGTTCTGATTGCGCCCGATTACCACACACGGTCGGTTGATATATAGGAAGAGGATGTTCGAGTCGGCGGGCGCATGCTCTAGCAGAAAGTGTTCGATGGAGAGGTTCACGTAGGGATCGGTGGAGAGAGATTGGTAGATTTGATGCCGGGAGGACTGGCGACTGGCGAGCTGGGCGAATTGGTCGGCGGAGAATGAGGAATTCCACCGCACGGCATTAGAACGCAGGCTGGCGCTGGGATGGGGAACTCGGAGCGACGATAGCCAGCATGTTGCTCGAGAGGAGAAGAGACGCATTGGAGGGTTTAGAGAGCTGCCGAGCAACTCATGGCCAGTCCAGAACAGGTAGAGAGGAAGGAAAAGAGAGAAAGCGAAGATGGTGACAATACTGTAAGTATCATCATAATGCAAGATACCAGGCGTACCTTCAAAACAGACCGAACGGTACCTACAGTCGGAGAGGATGATGGACCAATGGGGGCCAAGGAACAAGGCCGATCTCGCCGGGAGCTAAACCGCACACGATCAAAGTGGCAGCCCGACGTGCCATTCCTCTCTCCGAGACTCCATCCAGACTTCACTTTTCTTTCCGTCTGCCCCTCGCTTACTTTTCTCCTCCTCTTCCTTTCCCCTCCGTTCTTCTTATTTGGCCTCGTTCTCCCTCGATATCCTGTCTTCTTCGACTTCACTTCATCCTCTCCCTACAGATCCCACCTTCTCTTCTCCCTCCGAACCCCATCAATCAATTGAACACCGCCCGCCATGTCGACGTGGGGTGATTACTTCCGGGTCACCACGTAGGTCTTCTGAGTCAGCCCCAGTCTATGATGATGGTGACATCGCACACCATCACCACCACACAATCACAAACACCTCTGTCCATATACATGCACATACTAATTGCGCTCTTTCTCTTTTCAGTTACGGTGAATCGCACTGCCGCTCCGTCGGCTGCATCGTCGATGGCTGCCCCCCAGGAATGGAACTCACCGAGGACGACATCCAGCCCCAGATGACCCGGAGACGTCCCGGCCAGAGTGCTCTGACGACGCCTCGTAATGAGAAGGACCGCGTTGAAATCCAGTCCGGAACGGAGTTTGGAGTTACACTGGGAACTCCGATTGGCATGATGGTGCGCAACGAGGACCAGAGACCCAAGGACTACGGCAACAGCACCATGGACCTGTACCCCCGCCCCAGTCACGCCGACTTGACCTACCTCGAGAAGTACGGCGTCAAGGCCAGCAGCGGTGGTGGTCGCAGTAGTGCCCGTGAGACCATTGGTAAGTGAACCGCTCAACACCAGAAGGGAACGCCATTAACGCAGTTTTCCCCCGGGTTACAGGCCGTGTGGCTGCCGGTGCCATCGCCGAAAAGTACCTGCGCCTCTCGCACGGCGTTGAGATTGTCGCCTTCGTCTCCTCCGTTGGCAACGAGCACCTGTTCCCCCCTACTCCCGAGCACCCCACTGCCTCCACCAACCCCGAATACCTCAACCTCCTCAAGACCATCACCCGTACCACCGTCGACGAGTTCGCGCCCACCCGCTGCCCCAACGCCGATGCCGCCGCGCGCATGACCAAGGTGATCGAGCAGTTCCGCGACAACCACGACAGCATCGGCGGTACCGTCACCTGCGTGATCCGCAACGTCCCCGTCGGTCTGGGTGAGCCCTGCTTCGACAAGCTCGAGGCCAAGCTCGCCCACGCCATGCTCAGCATCCCCGCCACCAAGGGCTTCGAGATCGGCTCCGGCTTCGGAGGCTGCGAGGTCCCCGGCTCCATCCACAACGACCCCTTCATCGTCTCCGATGTCCCTACCCAACTCGGCACCAACACCACCACGAAGCAGCGCCTTACCACCAAGACCAACAACTCCGGTGGTATCCAGGGCGGTATCTCCAACGGCGCCGACATCTACTTCCGCATCGCCTTCAAGCCCCCGGCCACCATCGGCCAGGCCCAGAACACCGCCACCTACGACTTCGGCGAGGGTATCCTCGAAGCCAAGGGCCGTCACGACCCCTGCGTCACCCCCCGCGCCGTCCCCATTGTCGAGGCCATGTCCGCGCTGGTCGTCATGGACGCCCTGATGGCTCAGTACTCCCGCGAGAGCGCCAAGTCTCTCCTGCCCCCGTTGCCCAAGACCCTGCCCACTCGTCCCACTCTGGGTACCAACGGCCACAGCGCTTAAATAGGAAGTGGTTCGATTTATTTCATTTTTGTTCTGGGTTCGGGGTCTCTAGTCTAAAATTATCACGATTGGCTCTTTGGGGACCGATCTATGCATGCGGGGTTTTCATTTTCTATCTTAGAATGCAGTGACGTACGTCATGTTCGGCTGATGTTTGATGTCTCAAGTCAGAAACTCAACTTAATGACTTTTTTTTCCCTTTTTTTTCTCTGATTGATATTTGTTGCTTCGGTATATTATATCACCTTACCTTTTCTTCATTATGTTCGCATAGATTTCTTCTCGGGTTTGGTTTCAAATCAAAAAGGCGTTCTACGTTCGTACTACTATAACAGATGAGTCATGTGTTCAATAACCTCGCTTGTTATGGGACAGTAATTACTCTAGGAACTAACTACTTGGCGTAATCAGTAATTGAAAATTTTGAGACAGTCAAATATACCGGAAGGAGGAGTAGGTTTAAGTATCATTCAAATTCATTTAGATTCATTCGACTCATGGCTCGTCAATTCCACGACCTCATTGACATCGTTCAATCCATCCAACTAACCAATTGCATAAAGACATTGACGAAGAGAAAAACAGCAACAAATCTGTAACGAGTGTGGTATCATATCTTATCAAACAAATCAACAATCAAAAACCCGTATGTAATATATGTATGGATGTGGGTATGTATGGATGTATGAACCAACCAGATACCCACATGAGATGAAAGAAAAGGGCGAAAGAAGCTTATCACCGCAAAACTGGGTGTTCAGAGGAATGGAAAAATAAGCAAGCACTGCTCACTTCGCGGCATCACTATTGCTTCTGCTGACGGACTTCTCGGAGAATGTGTCCAGTTCGCCTGCAGTAGCGTTGACGACGCGGAGTTTCTCCTTCGGTACGGTGAAGGTTACCTGGACGCGACGGCCTTCTGCAGCACCTTCTACGTCCCAATCGTCGTCACTGTCTGGATCGAGGTCTAGGAATGCGTGTAAGGCGGTGTCATCTCGTGAGGACCGAGCCTGGGACTCCATATTGCGTGAGAGTCGGTTGGCTGCGCCCCAGTCTTTGGCACCTTGCTTGCGTCTGAAGAGTTCAGCTGATGCGCTGACGGAGCGACGCGGGAGGCCGTAGCCTGTAGAAGTTGTGGAAGGTCCGAGAACCGTGCCTCTTCGGTCGATACCAGAGGCTAGGGGTGCTGTGGTCGGATCTATGTCCGTTGCTGGGCGTCTCCGCGTTAGGGAGAGGACTCTGCGAACGTTGTTGCCGATCCATTCGGATGTGCGTTGTTTGGGGAAAGTGGTAGGCTTGGGGAATAGATCGAGCGGGGAGGTCGGTTCAGGGTTGTCGCGAAGAAGGTGCTCGCCTTCAGCTTGTCGAAGGGAGAGCGAGGTGTGAGCGGTGGAGTAGGAGTCAGAAGAGTAGCGCTTCTCGGATGAAAGCGCTGCACTGTTCGGTCTGCTTCGGGCTGGCTCTCGACTAGGGATCGAAATTGTGACGGACTTTTGAGGAGACTGGCGCCCACTACTTGCTTGACTCGCGGGGTAGCTGAAGTTGGCCATGCGAGGTTGAGGGATTGATTTGGCCGACGTCGAGGAGTCGGAGAGGTTCGAAGATGTCCGTTCATCCTTATCTGGCGAAGAAGGCATGTCTCTGTCATAGCCAACTCCAGCCATGTAGTCGGACGGGCCGGCCGAGCCACCAGCATATGAGTCTCCGCATACGGTCGTGCTCAAGGGTGTCAGGATTGTTGACTCGGCCCGGAAATTGTCGATTGTTTTCTGCGTGGAAACGCCCACGGCATCTTTGGCTTCATCTTCCTCACGTTCATCGATCGGGTGAATATCGCCTGTGGCATCACTCCTTCTATACTCGCTGTATTGCGTAGGGGGTCGATACATTCTGGCGCTCAGACTAGAACGACCTGTAGTTGTGGGACTAGGATCCCCGAGCAGACCAGTGCTTTCTGCGACTGCATCGCCTGTATCCTGCCAACTGAATGGTCGGCCAGATCCACTATTGCCCATCCAAGGGTAGTCACTTCTGACTTCGGCCTCCCTCATGGAGGGCTTGTGGATACTGCTCGCCATGAAAGGCTCCCCTTGACCCCAGAAGTGGGCTCTTTCTGCCCCCAAGGCTAGCTTGCGGAGCTCCTGATCTCGCACGCGGCGCTTTTGGCGCCTCTTCCAGAGGAAGAATAGGAGTATAGCGAGACCAGCAACGACAGGAATTCCCAGCCCAACACCAACTCCGACCCCAGTCTTCCATGTCTTTGACGAGCCAGACTGGGAGGACTCCTGTTGGCTAGCGATGGATTCAGGATTCCGGTAGGATGAGACCCATTCCTCAGAGGTGATATTATATAGATAGACCTGTGAGTTGGGCTGGGATTGCTTAGCTGAACGCTTTGACGAGGATGATGACGACTGCGGTATAGTATATCCGCCTGCCACCATCATCACACCACCAGGCAGCATCGTTGCCCCATGCCCATAAAGACCGCTCCCTCCTGTGGTCTCCGTATCCTCAGTTGACAGTATGTTCCAAGTCCAATCACCAGAACCGCCATACGTTTCTCCCAATTCCAGTATGACTAGCTGCGGTTGAGCAGCAATGCTTGTATTCCCCACCCAGCCCCCGTACACAATGACCTTGCTGCCATCTGGGGAAAGAACTGCTGTATGCCCCGATCTCGGCTCTACCGTGGCAACTTCCCTCACAGCAAGCTCGGTCTTGTAGGAAGTAGAAGTAATGTCGACTGTGACGAAGCTCCAGCTATTCTGGGGCAGTGAGAACACGGCAAGCTGCGACATATTGATGAATGCATCCTGGGTTTGGCCACCAATCAGGAGAAAATCCTGTTGCTGGCGCACCTCGCCGTTCGATGAATATGCATAAGTGGCTTGCAACGGAGTCACGGTAAAGCCGGCCTCTGCAATCGGGGGTGCGCGATTGCCGGTGGTGGATGCATCATAAGCATCAGTCTTGCCCGATCCGGATGGCTCAAGGACCACCATGGACTGAGAGTAGTTGGCGCTACCCATCCAATTTGCGTCTGAGGCATTCGAAAAGGGGCACATCCCGCCAAAAGCATAGACAGAGCTGTCGGAGGTGTTGGTGGAGGCATATGTGAACCCTGCTGAGAGATAGTTCGGTGCATCCACGTTGTCGCTTGACCCGCTTTCCTTCACAGAGAGCTTTTCCCATGACCCATCACCAATCGAGCTATTGTTGTCCGGTGTAAACTGCCACAGCTCACCCTTGTCCAAAGCTTCCTGGCAATTGCCTAGATATATCTTGATCACTCCATGCTGATCGAGAACAGGCACAAATGCAGGGGACTGAGTGTTGAGTTGGAAGGGTAGTGGATCCATCAAGATATTGTAACTCGGACTTGTTGTATCGATCTCGCCTGAAACATCCCAGGTGATGAATTCGGTGGAGGCATCTTGACTCGTACCGGTGGATTGTAGCAGGTAGGCGAACGACCCATTGCTAGTTGAAGAGTAGAAGAGTTGTGAGGGAGTGTATGGGACGGCTGTGGAAGCCGGGCTGGCGAAGAGCAGGAGGGCAAGGAGTGTTGGCACCACGGGGGCGCCAACAGCCCTGCGTATTCCGTGTTTTCTCGAGAGACATTCATCCATGGGGATTAGCGAGAGCTTTAAGTTGCGTTAACAAGAATGCGGCAGTCTGAGACTGACTGCGATGCATCTAGAGCAACGGTCGATCCTTAGCTCGTTAGCACGACTCAGCAAAGGCGCGTCTGGAGGGCCAGACCGGCCGGCATGAGACGAAGCGTTAGAGGCGACCTGTATCAATTGGGGTTTCTCCTTGAAGGTTTGGTCTCCAGAGAATTGCAATCAAAAGACCAAGGTAACCTTGAAACAGGCGATAGAGGGAGGAGTGGTGAAGTAAAGAGCAGCTGCGCGAGGAGGCAGTAATATTGACAGGGGAAAGAAAGCGACAACAGGCTGCATCTCAATTACAGCCGATCGGACCCGGTTCTAGATGATCTCTAGTCTCTAGAGGCGCCGGAAGAAAGATTTGATTAAAGCCATCGTCATCGCTAGCGGGCCCATAGCAAGCTTTGTCCAGTCTGAAGTGGAGGCCTGGAATTACTGAGGGGCTGGGGATGGAGGATTGAAGCGTCAACACGGGCGGTTGCACTGGCAACTGGGAGGGGCGAGAGAGAGAGCACTGCATGGAAGTCCCAAGGAGGGGACGCGTGAGCATTGTGGTGCAAAGATCCCTGTTGGATAGATAAATAGATTTGATGAGGTTGGTGATGATTGATTGATTGATTGTTGGGGGGGGTCGGGCAATTGTGGTTTATCTCAATTCTGTATCTAGATGAATAAATTGACAGGTGCCAGTTTTGACCTTATCGATAGTATGAATGATGGCATGCAGAATAAGTGAGACCGACCATGTGGAGAAAAGTGAAACAAGGGCGATCCTCTAAGAGATGTCACGTAGTTAGTTCAAACGGCTACAAGGAAACTATGAGAAGATGTGTGACAGCTCATAGTAGTAGTCGATGATGATACTGGTCTCTGTAGGATTCTTCTTGTATATACTATGCTACTATTTTGCACGTTTAGTGAGTTGCGATGATTGAGATTTGTTGATTGTTGATTGTTGATTGTTGATATTGCAAGTGGGGCCACCCAAGCAGGAAAACTGAAGGAAGCTCAATATGGGTTGGCCTGCCAACTACCAGCCATCAACAACATTTTCTCTCCCATTCAATTAATGACTATTACCATAACATCATCATCATCATCAGATGAAAATCAAGGTCGTGTTCTTTCATGTGAAACCATGCCCACTTTCACTGCCTCATTCCCAGCCTGACCCAAGACTACTTACTCAAGATATCCACCACTAGAATAGTATAGTATACCTACTAGATACTTTGTAGATACATACATACGCCTTACCCGGTCTCATCCTCGTGGGGCTCCTGCGGGGCTGCATCTTCACCACGAACAAGTCAAAGGAGTCTCGGAAGA